CGCCCAGGCTGGAGTGCAGTGGCCGGATCTCAGCTCACTGCAAGCTCCGCCTCCCAGGTTCCCGCCATTCTCCTGCCTCAGCCTCCCGAGTAGCTGGGACTACAGGCGCCCACCACCACACATGGCTAATTCTTTGTATTTTTTAGTAGAGACAGGGTTTCACCATGTTAGCCAGGATAGTCTCGATCTCCTGACCTCGTGATCCACCCGCCTCAGCCTCCCAAAGAGCTAGGATTACAGGCTTGAGCCACCGCGCCCGGCCTTTTGTTGTTGTTGTTGTTGTTGTTGTTGGCTGCTAACTTTGGACTCCGGTCCCCTTCACATTCCTGAGCTGTTTTGGCTTCTAGAAGACCAGGGGCATCAGGCATGACTGAAGGACCCGGTCTCCTGGCCACGTGAGATCTGAAACCTGCCGCCCATTAACTCAACCAAAAGTTACGAACCAGCATCATTCACACGGCGCCGGCCCCAGGTGCCTGCTCAGGAGGCCAAGGGCCCCGAGGTCGCCAGACAGGAGCCCAGGCACTGGACAGTTTGGGCTATCTTCTTAGTAAAACTGGGTTCCATTCCCCTTTACTTAAAAACATATATGTAAGTATACAGTGGGCTTCAAAAATAAGAAAAAGCATCTCCAGACAAAAAAGATGATCTTCATTTTTAAAACCCATGACCCACTCTCGGGAAGGTGTTCCCGTGCTCTGGGCCTGGGGACGCTGGTGCCACCAGCTTCCAAGATGGCCAGGTGGACCGGGGCCAGTGCTCCCCAGCCTGCCTTCTGCGCTGTCTGTGGGCCTCCAGAGCACGGAAAGCAGGGGGACCCCAGACCCGTGACAGACAGCCACCCGGACATGCCAGGCCACAGCACTGGGCCACATTTCCACGTGTGAAACAGGGCTTTAAAAGCCAGCGCTGAGCTCGGCCACCTCTTGACCTTCTGAACGGCTGTGGTTTCCAAACACGGATGGATAACCCGGCGGGGCACAGGGTGGTGCACTCACCTGGGGCCGAACTCTTTCTGGCACATGGGGCAGTGGCGCAGGGCGGTACCCTCCACGGACGGCTGCTGCTCCACCCTGGGGGCCCTGCAGGGATCAGGTGCCGGGCGCTGGGGCAGGGACCTGGCGGGGGACTCCAGGTGCCCTCCTGCCCCGCGAAGCAGCCGGTAGGAGCGGCCCGGGCTCCACAGGTCTGGCGGAAAGGGCGTCCAGGAAAAGGTCTTGGGTCCGACAGTGAAGGCTTCAGTGGGCTCCGGGCCGCACCTGGGCTCCTGCAACATGGAGTTGTTGGGCCTCGCCCAGCGGCGGCTCTCGCCCTGGAAACCCCTCCCCCGCTGCCATGGGCCCGGTGGGCACACCTGTCCAGGGAAGGCGGGCAGTGGAGGCACCTCGTGGTCCAGGGTGAGCTCTGGGCTCACCGTGCGCAGCAGCTCGGCCCAGAGCCGCTCCCGCTCATCACCCCCCAGGAGAAACCAGGGGCGGCCGCCAGAAGGCCTGGGGCGGACAGAAAAAGGAGACGGGGTACTCAGCCGGGGAAAGGCTATGGTGGGGGGACCTGGGAG